GCCTTCAATTTTGTTGGACAACTCAATTCTCTTCAAAGGAAGGTTCTATGCTTTTGTGTCTACAAATCTGAGAATCAAAGCGTTATTCCTAAAATCTGACAATCGGGCTACCTGCAAAATAAGGAAGATGTTAGATCTTAGCCAAGATTAGAGTTCTCTATGACTTGGCAGTCCAATGTTCGACATTAGTACAGTACTCAAGGTAGATGGAGATAAGAGATAGAAAAAATGAGAATGGGAGAAGATGATAATTGTGCTGTGTCTATGAAGGGATAATATTAATGTGTGATCTAAAATAGTTAACCTGACCATGGTTGATCAACACCATAGTTATCTTTTAGTCAGTGTGCCTCCAGCAAGAGGCTGCCAAGCTGTCGTACTCTCCAAGTTGGACCATAAAAAAAAAAAAACAAATGTTGATGGCCAGACTAGTGGAGTCTTGCCACGTGTCCTTGTATACCATTAATCTATTTTTGGATAAGACACACAGCTTGGAGTTCGCAAAGGGCTGTTCCTACTTCCTAGGGTGTTCTCCAAGCATTTCACTGAATATTTGGTAGAATTTGATGGCAGAATTTTGTTGGTCTTTCTCATATCTAGGAAAAAACAAAAGTTGTGGATGATGTAGAAGTATTCCGGCTCAATATTGAAGATCTATTCCGGGAGAGGGCGGCAGCCTTGGGAAGAGAACATTGTTTTTGAGGACTCATTGTTGCATGTCTCTGCAAACAAAGCCAGATGCAGAAGAAACTGTCTATTTTTCTTTTAACACAGATGATGGCTGTTGGGAATTAGACATGGAAATTAAAGGGCAGCATATCACCGCTTAAGAGGGCTACAACAGAGTCCCTTGTTTGGGTAGGGCCAGTTCTGGAAGTGGATTGTATATGCACAAACAATAGTATAAACAAACTAACTAAACAAAAGTTTTAGATCAACTTCAGTCAGCAGTTGGTTAAAATAGTAACTTTTCTAAAACCCTAGAAATACTAAGGCGAACCATGAAAGCAAAACCGACATTAAATTTATAAAGGAGGCTAATAATGTGAAATCAGGGAAGTCCTACACTTGATATCCAGGTTACTAATATTGCTTCTCTCTTTTTTCTTTTTCTTTTTTTATTCTTTTAGAAAACTAATATTGCTTCTCTAATCTACCTCAATTGGATGCCAAAATCCCATTTTTCTGTGGTTTTGTGAGTTTCATATGAAGATTATTATATTTAAGTATCGTACTGTACAGGAACTACTCATCTAGCATTTGTATTCTATAGATTAAGAGTTGGGAAAACACCAAAAATTAATTGGGTGAAAAACCAGTAAACAACAAAGAAAAAGGTTTCTAAACTTAATAAATGCTAAAGTAATCCATGAAAACAATGCTGTCATTAAACTTACAATGGAAGTCTGATAATGTAAAATGAGGGAAGTCCCACCCGAGAAATGAAATAGAAGGTCAAGTTTCTTATTTCCAAAGGAATAGAAGCGTTTATCTGTCTTCTTAGATTTGGAATCTTTAATTGACTGTCCTTTGGAACGTCTAAAATTGCTGCATTCAACAAAGATTGCTTTTTCATTTTTGGTATGTCAGAGAGAAACAAGATTGTTTAGCAACTAATTAAGGTCTAGGGAAACAAATTTCCATGGTATCCCTAAAATGTTGGTGACGATTCCCAGCAAAGGGGTGTTGATTCACAGTGAAATTAAGGTAAACTCTTGAGAAATTAAATAGT